ACGCTCAACACAGGAAACTTTTCAAACAAAGTCGCACAATTCTGACGTCACGCAGGGGTCCTCCATGAAGCGCAGTCTCCACGTGAATTTATCAACAGCGTGATGGCTGGCGTGTAAGCTTAGCGTGCAACTTGCTGTGTTTTTACAAAAGCTAAAGGCCTGACAGTTCATCTGTAATATCAGGTAACCGGAAACGGGTCCATCCTACAGTGTTTTGTGTGTTTTGCTAGTTTGATCCTTAAATATTTTTGTTTTAGCTGTAAGTTAGCTCCACTGAGTTCTTCCTCCTGTTTCAGTTGTCAGCTCTTTGCGGCTCTGGCTCCAATGCTTTTGTCACACTGTTTAACTAGTATCTGCTTCTGTGTGATTTTGCTATCGGACAGTTATTCTCTCTCTCAGGAGCAAATAGACTATGGCAACCGTCCGTAAGAAGGTAGACAACCGGATCCGGGTCCAGATAGAGAATGGGGTCGCTTTGCAGCACAGGACCTTGTTTGTTGTGGTGGGGGATCGTGGCAGAGATCAGGTAATCCCATCACTCCCCGCGCATTCAAGACACATTAGCTTGCATTAGGAGCAGTGGGCTTATTTTACCTGCAGGGTTGTGAATTTACATGTGTATAACTGAGCATTAAAACACAGTTGCTCCTCTCTGTTGGCCAGGTTGTCATCCTACATCACATGCTGTCTAAAGCTGCTGTGAGAGCTCGACCCTCGGTGCTCTGGTGCTATAAAAAAGATCTGGGATTCAGCAGGTGTGTGTGAGCTCACAGGAGAGAGGGTGTAATCTGTCAAATATTTAAAGAGTTTCCCAAATCTGGGATTAAAAAAAAAGGTGTTTCTCATCATCATCTCATTTGCGAAACAGCAATAGAAAGAAGCGCATGAAACAGCTGCAGAAGAAGATTAAAACTGGCACGTTGAACCTGAATCAGGACGACCCATTTGAACTCTTTGTTGCCGCAACCAACATCCGCTACTGTTACTACAACGAGACACACAAGATCCTGGGAAACACTTACGGCATGTGCGTCTTACAGGTGAGTCTCTGCTCTGGTTTAAAAAAGATTTTAGAGTAAAATAAACCACTAGGCTTCTGGTACAATAGTGTGACATCTGCCTGCAAATAAATAGTTACAGGGTTTGAAATGAACCTTAAGTCAATCTTTATTTGCCCTTACCTATTACTTGTCATATTGCTCATACTAAGCTTGGCCAAAGCTTCAAATAATGAAGTTAGCTGAGCCAAAAGCTGCACACTGCTCTAAACACAGTTTCGTGTGCTCATGGATCAGTACAATGAACGTCAGTGAGACTAGATATGCTTAATATGGTCGTTTCTGACAATGAAGCTCCACCCACCTGCTGTTCGAACGTTCTGTTTGGAAAGTACAGCCAATCAGAAAAAGGTTGGTTTAAACAGAAGGGCTTCTAGGTGCCTTCTTTGTCACACTGGATGAACTGAGAGGTTAACAGAGGCCAAGCATGACATTAAGCATCATTTTGAGCATCTTCTAAACATCCCTGTTCATTTTTCTAAATGCTCTTTAAATTTGACCTTGTTTTTGTTTTTTGTTTTTTTTCTGTTGATGAACTTATGTTCCTGTTCCTTACAAACAAGAACATAAGTGCATTTGATCAGGGTGGGGTGGGGAGGTGCATCAGGTGTTTGATTTCTATTGTTTCTCTTGTCACACAGGACTTTGAAGCTCTCACTCCCAACCTCTTAGCAAGAACTATCGAGACTGTAGAAGGTGGCGGTATAGTGGTCCTACTGCTCAGGACCATGAAGTCTCTGAAACAGCTGTATACAATGACTATGGTAAGGATTTAATTTATTATTAGATTCGGTTTGCTCTTCTGATGACGTGGAACCCACTGGGACCAACTTTTTCCCCCCCTCTACCCCTTCTTCTTCCTCCAGGACGTGCACTCTCGATACAGGACCGAGGCTCATCAGGATGTGGTTGGAAGGTTTAATGAGAGGTAGGTGCTTTGCCAAGAGTTCATGGAGTTTGAAGTGTATTTGCTCAGAGGAATGAAAATTGAACCGTCATATTAAAAATGTGGTTTTATTTTTGTGGTTTTTTTAAAGGTTCATTCTATCTTTGGCGTCCTGCAAAAACTGTGTCGTCATTGATGACCAACTTAACATCCTGCCAATTTCCACCCATATGGCAAACATTAAACCAGTCCCACCAAAGACTCAGGTACCTTTTTTAATTATATAGTATAAAATGTTTTTTTAATCGGTTAGTTATTCAGCAGATAGTTTGCTGACAGCAAGCTTCATAGTGGTTATCCTGCACATGGGAGGATTAATGGTTTAGACGTTGTTCTGCTTTTGTGTGTTTATGATTTCAGACTATTAACTTGCATAAAACAGGCACCCAGGATTTATTGTCTGTACAATATGTAGGTTGCACTGCGTTCTGTCCCTTTTTAAATAAGTTTAAAAATGTTTCATACATTATAAAGACCAGTTGGGCCTCTTTGAGAAAGAGTTGGAGGGTTTTAAGGACAGGCATTTCTGGCTGCTCTGAGAAGAAGCAATGATAATGTTTTTCCTGCTGTTGCTTAGGATACTGTGCTGAAAGTCTCTGAAAAGCCAATAAGTGCACATTTAGGGAGAAAAAAAGACTCCATACAGTACGCTCCCTTCTGACTGGCTCTCTCATTCCCATTCAGGAGGACAGGTTGCCTCCTCGAGAACAGGAGCTGAAGGATCTGAAGGAGTCCCTTCAGGACACTCAGCCAGTCGGTGTATTGGTGGATGCATGCAGGACTATGGACCAGGTCAGGGCCTTTTAAATGCTACAGACACATTCACCTCCTATAACTGAATTCAAGTTGACTGCAATGTTATAGTTAAACAGTAAGTAGCAGATGTGCAGGTGTCCCAGTTGTTATTTTGAATATTTTCTATAGGCAAAGGCGGTGTTGAAGTTTATTGAAGCAATATCAGAGAAGACGCTGAGGAGTACTGTGGCTCTGACTGCTGCCCGTGGTCGAGGCAAGTCTGCAGCTTTGGGGCTGGCTGTTGCTGGAGCTGTGGCTTTTGGGTATATATGACTTTTATCAATGCCATTTTAAAATATCAGTTTTGTCTGTTTTTATTCTTCTCGCTCGTCACCTGTTATTGTAACTTTTTTATTTTTAAAGCTACTCTAATATCTTTGTAACTTCGCCGAGCCCAGACAACCTTCACACTATGTTTGAATTCATCTTCAAAGGCTTCGATGCCCTGCAGTATCAGGTAGGCTCTGACTCTTCTCTGCACCACTGATGTCATGTGCACATGGTGAGCACGTACTGCTTCTTACTCCCATTTTAATTCGCAGGAGCATCTCGACTATGAAATCATTCAGTCTTTGAATCCAGAGTTCAATAAAGCAGTGGTGCGGGTGAACATATTCAAAGAGCATCGGCAGACAATTCAGGTAAACAAGACTAATAAAAAAAAAAGTGTCTTCTTTTACAATAAAAAGTGAAATTTACACCTGATCTGATCGCACCATTACTGTGGCCCAACAGTATATCCACCCAGGTGATGCAGTGAAGCTGGGCCAGGCTGAACTGCTTGTCATCGACGAGGCCGCAGCAATCCCTCTTCCTCTTGTTAAGAAGCTGCTCGGGCCTTATCTGGTTTTCATGGCCTCCACCATCAACGGGTCAGTTTAAAACCTGAGTCATATTTATACACCACAAGATGCTTGTTGGTTTTGTCTGAATATATTACCGTGAAGACTTTTTTGAGTAAAATGATCAATGAGAGAAATGAGGCACTTAAATATGGAACTCCTGAAGAGAAGTCAGGGCTCTAACACACAAAAATGTGCATAAACATGCTTATTTAGTCCCAGTTTAGTCACACTTACCCACTGTCAGCACATTACAGGCGACTTTCCCGTCTCCTGACAGCTGACAATGACCTAACTGAACAACAATAACAGCTGGTTATAAGCTTACATCAGGCCAGCTAACATTAGGTTTAAGTGTGCCACCATAGCTTTGTGCAGTCTACTGACATCTAGTGATGCGATGTTGCACACTGCACCTTAAGTCTTAAGGCACTGCCTTTCAAATCATCACACAGATCAAGTTTTGTGGCTGGGATGCTCAGAGCAGTTGCACAGTCTGCTGCCCAGCACTGGCACAAGGAAATGCAAATTGGCTGTTGAGCTAAGCCTTTTCAATATGACTGAATCCAAAACTAAGCAACTTATACAGCACACAGTGTGTTTTTGTGCAGTCGGTGTTTAAAACTGATCATATTTGGAATTAAGGGAGCGAAATCCATCATAATGTTCACAGTTCCAGCAGCACAGGCATGAGATCCTGGGACTTAATGTCCTTCTGTGTTTATCTTCAGTACTTGTTGTTATTGCTGTAAATAAGTTTATGCAATCGTACATTTCAGCTTTAAGCTGTAGGAATATTGAATGAAGGGCTAAAATAAGCAGACAAGGCACTATTTTCAGGGTTTTTTTTTCTTTTTAAAAAAACTCAAAACCAGTTGAGAAGTGCACACACCTGAGCTACTCGGGCACAAGAAGCTGCACCCAGTGAATTTTCACATTTCTGTTTCCGTGCTAATTATTTGTATTTCTGCAGCTATGAAGGCACCGGGCGCTCTCTTTCCCTCAAGCTGATTCAGCAGCTGAGGCAGCAGAGCGCAGACAGTCAGCAGAGCATGTCTGCAGAGAACAGAACCACCAATACAGCCAGACTATCAGCAGGTGAGGATCTCCGTTGCTCACCGTGTTTATGTTCAGTGCATCTGTATCGTGTGACTCACTGCTGTTTACCCGTTTCCGTTCGCAGCTCGTTCTCTCCACGAGGTTTCTCTGCACGAGTCCATTCGGTACTCTCCGGGAGACCCTGTAGAGAAGTGGCTGAATGAGCTGCTCTGTCTAGACTGCCTCAACATTCCCAGGCTCATTTCCGGCTGCCCGCTTCCACAAACATGTGAACTGTATCCTTTGTTTCCCTAATAATCCCACCTGAGGCAAATTTACATGTGTAATTGGGGTTTTTTTGCTGGGTGAGCATTAAGTAGGCGCAGTGTGGTATTTTGTGCATAGATTAGCAAACATTTAAAGTCAGGCTGCAGAAAATGCCGTGGACAGTTATTATTTAAAATACTGAAACTCAATATTGAAGTCTGTGCAATAGAAACGAAATTTTTTTTTTGCCAGATTTCTAATCTATGGTGCACATCACATCACCTACATTCACTATGCAAGTTTGCATTTGTCCTTATCTAATGCTGTGCAGATACTATGTGAACCGAGACACACTGTTCTGTTACCACAAAGCGTCTGAAGCTTTCCTGCAGAGGTTGATGGCTCTCTATGTGGCATCGCACTACAAGGTGATTGTCGATTGCAGTCCTTTGACTTTAATTTATTTATTTCATTTTTTCCCCCTTAAATCTACCGGCAGCGCAGTGCCCTGCACAGTGTTGTCATTTTTGTGACTCGTATTTTTGTCTCCAGAATTCCCCAAATGACCTGCAGATGTTGTCTGACGCTCCGGCTCATCACCTCTTCTGCCTCCTGCCACCTGTTCCTCCCACACAAAACTCACTACCCGAGGTCCTCGCTGTGGTGCAGGTACTGTAATACACTCACAGACCCACTGTTTTAAATCATAGGGTGGGAAATGAGTAGTTAATGAAATTCTAGTTATTAGTTATTTATTACAAACCAACAAAATTATGATATTTGCAAAAAGATTCATAACTGTTTATATGGGCATCTCAAATCTTTGTAAGTGGTAAAGTGTGTGTAACACCTCTATAAACATTATGTAGGTGTTGTAATTGATTTGTGTAGACTCTATTTTAAAAAAGTGCATAGCTGGGCAGGTCAGGAGGCACTGGTATAAAGTAAGACTGTGAACCTTTAGTCCATATTTTGGGTCCTGCTTCACTCTGTTTAGTTTCTATGTAACTCACTTTTTTGTTGTCACTTTCTCTCGTGGTTTGGTTTTGGTTTTTATGAACCAAAACTTCTTGTGTAGGTTAGGAAATAGATTGTGGTTTAGGTTAAGCTATTTTGAGTTGGGACTGAGACTGCCCCCATTATTGCCGCTGCACATGGCCTCGGAGGACTACTACAGCCATAGGGCAGGGGTGTCAGACAATGAGGGCCGGGGGTCCGGAATCGGCCTGGCAAAGATTCCAGTCCGGCCCACTGGATGGCTTCGGAAAACGTGAAGAACAGAAATCTGGACTTTTAATTGTATTTTCATACATTTTTACAGCTTTTCCTACTGAGAGAGAGAGATAGATAAAATGTAATATTTATTTTACACGTTTACTTCTTACAGTTATTTACATTTCTGGCCCAAATAAGGTCAGCAGTGAGCTCTGTTTGGCCCGTGATGTAAAATGATTTTGACATCCCTGGCTTAGGGTTTTTTTTTAAATAGTGATTTATTGTCACTAGCATGCATGAGCTCTATGAACATCACTGATAGGCGACCTTTTTGATTCCACTCAAACATGCATTTGCACCCTCGTGCCCCCCAGGTATGTCTGGAGGGGGAAATATCAAGACAGTCCATCCTCAACGGCCTGTCCAGAGGGAAGAAGGCCTCAGGCGACCTCATTCCCTGGACTGTCTCAGAGCAGGTACAAAACCTTCAACAAAACCACTACAGCTCATTTTTTTTACAGTCCAGTGAGGACATTTTTAAACTAATACTGAATCCTCTACTCTTGTCACAGTTTCAAGACCCGGAGTTTGGCACCCTCTCAGGAGGGAGAGTGGTGCGCATTGCTGTTAATCCAGACTACCAAGGAGTAAGAATCTGTCATGTTTTTCTTGATATACACTGTACTGAAATATTTCCACTGCAGTTGCTTTCCTCGGGGAGTAAGAGTGGTGAGGAATTTCCTAAAGGGCATTTTTGTCTTAATGAACTATTATGAATTTTTTTGTTTATTTTGTTTTGGGTGGCCCAAAGCTTCATGTGCAGTCCACTAAAGCATGAAGCAAACTCCCCATGCTGAAATTCTTTCAGGGCTGTTTTTGGAAAGAAAGAAGCGCCTATTCTGGGGTACTTCTGAGCAGCCCTGAATTACTCCTAGGTTAAACTCAGAGAAGATAACAACAGCCAAAAATACAATTTTTAAAAATCCTGAAACCCATCAGCAGTTATAGTCAGCAGAATAAATAAAAAGAGATGACGTGATGAAGAATACATGTTAGAAATTGATCTGTGGGGTGGTGCCTGTTACATCACTTGCATGTCCAGAGAGATTTCTGTGAGAGAAGTGCCACACTATAAAATAACAAATGTCAGCGGCATTAATTTAGGCAAAACAGACCTGGAACTGCTTGGACAGGTTGACGGATGAGGTGATGCAGAAGTGCCTGGGGACTAGAAGAGATAGAAGAGAGACTGAGAAAGATGTAACCTGGTCCCTATGTTTTGGGGTTTTTTTGTTTTTGTCTCATGTGTAGATGAAGCTGACCTATTAGCTTAATCTCAGAGGGTCTTCTCTGCACAGGAAACTCAGACAAACAATGTCCTGAAAGAATCTTTTAGCTCCCTGAAAAGGTTTTAGTAGTTAAAAACAAACAAACAAACAAAAATAAAGAAACAGCTGTCCACTAGACCATGCATCTAAATTAAGTTTAGGGGAGATAATATTACACCCCTTGGGTGAGTACAGACTTCAGTGCTTGGTTGCAGCATTGTGTTTTTTTTAACCTGTCAGCGCATGAATGACATGATTCAGAGGGAAAAGCCGTTTATTGTTTTCTTTAGTTTTTGTTTTTTTAATTTTTTTTAAGGCTTTGGCCTTACTATGTAAACAAAAGAAAGCTCCACATGACAGAGGAATGCTTGCCCTCAGGAAGTTAGTGAAATTTGGGAAATGAAAGTTCCCGGAGCTTTTGTTGGCGTAGTAACACAGTTAATTTGAATAATCGACCTGTGCACCAGATGGGCTACGGCTCCAGAGCTCTCCAGCTGCTGCAGATGTACTACGAGGGCAAGTTTCCCACGATGGATGAGAGCACACAATCAAACCACAATGAAATCACCTCCGTCAGCAGTGAGGTAAGACACCGGTGCTTTCAGCAACATCTGCTAGACATTATTTGCGCACTTGAAGTGTAACCGGAGTGAACCTTGCTACGGTTTGTTGTGCAGGCTGTGAGTCTGCTGGAAGAGGTGATCACTCCACGCAAGGAGCTCCCTCCTCTTCTGCTGAAGCTGAGTGAGAGGAGGGCAGAGAAACTGGACTACTTAGGAGTTTCCTATGGCCTTACTGCACAACTGCTTAAGTGAGTTGGCTTAACATGAAGTGAAGGGGATGAATCTTTTGGAAGTGTATAAAAATGAATCTGTTTTCAACCACAACAGGTTCTGGAAGAAGGCAGGATATATTCCAGTTTATTTGAGACAAACCCCAGTAAGTACCATTCAGTCACTTTTCCATGTTTTTTTTGTTTTTTTTTTGTTGTTGCGCTGCTGTAATTATTTTTTCATGTGCGGTTGTATGTAGAATGACCTTACAGGAGAGCACTCCTGCGTGATGCTGAAGGAGCTAAATACAGATGAAACCCCGGAGCAGAGCCAGTGGCTTTCTGCCTTCTCGAAAGGTAAACATGCTTACACTGCCTGAGGAGAACTGGTGTGCTCAAGCTTGTCAGGCTTCTTTAGAACAATTCTTCTTCCCCTTCCTCAGATTTTCGTCGGCGCTTCCTGTCTCTGCTCTCCTACCAGTTCAGCAACTTTCATCCAAGTCTAGCACTGAGCATTTTGCAGAATAAGAAGTCCAAGGAGAATATCAGCAGTAAGAGTCCTCTGTTTAAAACACCCTGATCTGATTTCTCCAGCGTAGACCTCACCCCAATCTGACTTGTCTCTCATCATAACAGTTCTCAGCAGCTCAGAGCTGGCGGCTCACTTCAGCCCTTATGACCTCAAACGTCTGGAGCTGTATTCGAGGAGCATGGTGGATTACCACCTCATTATGGACCTGGTGCCAACGGTGGCACGCGTGTTCTTCCTCAAGCAGCTCGGTGACATGTCTCTCTCAGCAGCGCAGTGTGTACGTTTCCATCAACATTTTATATGACAGGTATCCTTCCAATGCAGCTGATTCCTCTGTTTAAGACGTTAACTGGCTGATGTCCGCTGTGCTCTAGGCTTTGCTGCTGGGAATCGGACTGCAGCATAAGTCTGTGGATCAGCTGGAAAAGGAAATTGAGCTTCCAAGCTCACAGCTCATGGGCCTCTTCAACCGCGTCATCCGTAAATTTGTGCAAGTGAGTTGCCAATAATTAAGTCATACAGAAAAACCTCACTTATGGATGATGTACAACTCGCTGTTAATTAAAGCAGCTGCAGTAAGGCTGTAACATCAGATCTTTTCATTATTACTGCATTAGATCTTCACCGGCATCCAAGAAAAAGCAGTTGAAGCACAGATGGCAGCCACTAAAGACGTTGCAATGGAGCCAACTGTCAGAAGCCTCAGTGAAGATCTGGTATGTGTGCTAAATTATTACTGATGATTAGCTAATGCTGGAATAATTTACAGGTTATTACCATTAACCTCCTAAGTCCCGAACTCTTCCACGGCATGCATTTTTAATTTCTCTTTGATATTTGGGCTGATTGGGGCCCGATGAATGTAAAAACAAAGAATTACCTTTTTTTTTACCTTTTTGTTTTTATGAAAAATAAGAGCCACATATGAGGATATTTGTTTAAAATTCTGATAGAACAGTAGCAGTATAATGTCCTCGTAAGTGGATATCAGGCCCTTGTAGAGCAAAATTGAGTATTTTGGTCTAAATAACCCAAAATGTGATGTCCACATATGTGGACGCCAGGTCCTAGGAGGTTAAAATAAAGATTCAAATTCTTATTAAAATGAAAAAAAGTTTATATTAATATTTTGGTTATTACATAAACATGTAATATGATGCTGTCATGGCTATTTTATAGCATTATTATTTGTGCATTATATGCAAAAGATCATTGGTTTGACAGCAGGAGAGACTAATCCAGCTTCAGGGGTCATAAGTTGGTGCTAATCCATCATAAGGGAGCAGCAGAAAGTTCCTCCTTCATTTTATGCTTTTGTTTAAGGGTTAAGGGTTTCAAATTTCGGGCAACAGTTTTTGCCACATTTTTTTTTTTTTTTCTATTTACTCGAAGAGAAACAAAAAAGAAAAAAGTTTAATTCTGGGGTTTTTTTTCCCTAAACCGCAGCCATAAACACGACCTGATCATGAACTGAGAGTAAACTCGTTATTCTGATGCATTTCTAATTAGCTTTCAGTTCTCGTAGGCCTTTTATGCTCATTTATGGCTTCACGTTTTTATTCATGGACTCTTCTAGAAGCAGCTTTGCATGCTCTGCAGCTTTAGCGCCCTTCCTCCTCCGTATGGCAGCTCACTTCTGATTGGCTGAAAGTTTGAAGAGCAAGTGGATGGGGCTGCTGTGCCTGTAAAGCTGTTTCTCTGTATTACAAAACACAAAGATGGAACCACAAAACCCCCACAGTGTTTATATGTCAACTTTGGTCTCGGTTTCAGAAGTGTCACACCCCTACATTTTATAGATACAAGTAAAGGAGGAATTATGTTGGAGCTTTACATCTAATACTGTGTCAGATTCAAACATTTTTTTCCGTCTTTGTTCATAGAATGAAGCAGCAAAGGAATTTGAGGAGAGACACAAACAAGATGTGGAAAAAGTAAAGGAAATGGACCTGGAACAGTGAGTATCGGGTTTGAAGGGCAGCCTTGGCCATTACATTTTTTAGACCAGTATTTACTCTAGCTGTCTTTTTGTATTTTTAGGTACAAAATTCGTGGAGACGATGAGGAGTGGGACCAGGTGCTGAAGAAAGCAGGGAGCACAGCTATCGTCAGCATAAAAAGGTAGAGTGTTACTTACAATGTTAGGTGAGAAATCTAGTGTTCAGTTGTTGGAAAAGCTTGTTTGTAATGAAGACCTGCTTCCAACAGTGACAAGAAGAGGAAATGGGAAGGAGGAACCCCCATAGCGAGCAATGGAGCTCCCCAACACGGAAAATTAAAAAAGAAGGAAACGCAACACGGAAAATTCAAGAAGAACAA